AAGCCATCCCTACAATACTTACTCGTTTCTCCTGACATTTATCTAGTAAATCCCTGTCTTAGATAAGTTAAGATCATCACTTCATTTTAAGAATGTGAAATGTCAGAATAATTGTAGAGAGAATGATTTATTTCAGCTTTTATTTCTTCCAGTGGGTCAGAAGTTTACATACACTCAATTAGTATTTGGTAGCATTGGCTTTAAATTGTTTAACTTGGGTCAAACGTTTCGGGTAGCCTTCCACAAGCTTCCCACAATAAGTTGGGTGAATTTTGTCCCATTCCTCCTGACAGAGCTGGTGTAACTGAGTCAGGTTTATAGGCTTCCTTGCTCGCACACGCTTTTTCAGTTTTGCCCACAAATGTTCTATAGGATTGAGGTCAGGGCTTTGTGATGGCCACTCCAATACCTTGACTTTGTTGTCCTTAAGCCATTTTGCCACAACTTTGGAAGTATGCTTTGGGTCATTGTCCATTTGGAAGACCCATTTGCGACCAAGCTTTAACTTCCTGACTGATGTCTTGAGATGTTGCTTCAATATATCCACATAATTTTCCTTCCTCATGATGCCATCTATTTTGTGAAGTGCACCAGTCCCTCCTGCAGCAAAGCACCCCCACAGCATGATGCTGCCACCCCCGTGCTTCACAGTTGGGATGGTGTTCTTCGGCTTGCAAGCGTCCCCCCTTTTTCCTCCAAACATAACGATGGTCATTATGGCCAAACAGTTCTATTTTTGTTTAATCAGACCAGAGGACATTTCTCCAAAAAGTACGATCTTTGTCCCCATGTGCAGTTGCAAACCGTAGTGTGGCTTTTTTATGGCTGTTTTGGAGCAGTGGCTTCTTCCTTGCTGAGCGGCCTTTCAGGTTATGCCGATATAGGACTCATTTTACTGTGGATATAGTTACTTTTGTACCTGTTTCCTCCAGCATCTTCACAAGGTCCTTTGCTGTTGTTCTGGGATTTATTTGCACTTTTCGCACCAAAGTACGTTCATCTCTAGGAGAACGTGTCTCCTTCCTGAGCGGTATGACGGCTGCGTGGTCCCATGGTGTTTATACTTGCGTACTATTGTTTGTACAGATGAACGTGGTACCTTCAGGCGTTTGGAAATTGCTCCCAAGGATGAACCAGACTTGTGGAGGTCTACAACTTTTATTTTGTCTGATTTCTTTTGCTTTTCCCATGATGTCAAGCAAAGAGGCACTGAGTTTGAAGGTAGGCCTTGAAATACATCCACAGGTACACCTCCAATTGACTCAAATGATGTCAATTAGCCTATCAGAAGCTTCTAAAGTCATGGAATTTTCCAAGCTGTTTAAAGGCACAGTCAACTTAGTGTATACTAACCCACTGGAATTGTGTAAACTTCTGACCCACTGGAATTGTGTAAACTTCTGACCCACTGGAATTGTGATTAAGTGAAATAATCTGTCTGTAAACAATTGTTGGAAAAATTACTTGTGTCATGCACAAAGTAGATGTCCTAACTGACTTGCCAAAACATTTACATTACATTTTTTTTACATTTTAGTCATTTAGCAGACGCTCTTATCCAGAGCGACTTACAGTTAGTGAATACCTTTTTTTTATTTATTTTTTATACTGGCCCCCCGTGGGAAACAAACCCACAACCCTGGCGTTGCAAACGCCATGCTCTATCAACTGAGCTACATCCCTGCCGGCCATTCCCTCCCCTACCCTGGACGACACTGGGCCAATTGTGCGCCGCCCATGAGTCTCCCGGTCGCGGCCGGCTGCGACAGAGCCTGGATTCGAACCAGGATCTCTAGTGGCACAGTTAGCACTGCGATGCAGTGCCTTAGACCACTGCGCCACTCAGGAGCTAGGTTGGAGTCATTAAAACTATAGTTTGTTAACAAGAAATTTGTGGAGTGGTTGAAAAACTAGTTTTAATGACTCCAACCTAAGGGTATGCAAACTTCCGACTTCAACTGTATACTGTTATGACAGTTATTTCATTTTCATGACGGTCTTCATCCATAACCATCGGTTATATGGTAATTGTGCCAGCCCTAGTAAATACATAGGTTTTAGGGCACTCAATGTGAAGTGGAACCAATTACATGTATAGTTCCTGGAGTTATACTCTTGAGTTACCTATTTCTGTACATCTGTTAATCTGAAATATAAACCCCTTCCAGGAGCTGTACAGCCAGTCATATGATGAGATTGGGGTGATGTTCGCCTCCATCCCCAACTTCTCTGACTTCTACACAGAGGAGAGCATCAACAATGGGGGGATTGAGTGCCTCAGGTTCCTCAACGAAATCATCTCCGATTTTGACAGTGTAAGAAGCTCATAAATCCATAATTTCGTTTTGTGAATTGTAACAGTCATGCAAATGTTGAAACTAGCTTGCTATAACAATGGAAGTACTGTATGTTATGACTCCCTATTCCCCATGCATGCCCACTGTATAGGAAATAAAGATACTGCCTAACACTTTGAGACTTTACTTTTCAACCCGTGACCTTTAACCTCTGACAGCTCCTGGACGAGTCTCAGTTCCGCTGCATCACCAAGATCAAAACCATTGGCAGCACCTACATGGCAGCGTCAGGGGTCACTCCCGACGTCAGCAACGGCTACGCCTGTCTGAAGGTTAGCTCATTACCATGGTCATCAGCCACTGGGTCTGGGTCAGAGGAGGCTTAAACTAGCCGTGTAAACTCCTATAGCATCAGATAATCATGTAAACTCCTATAGCATCAGATAATCATGTAAACTCCTATAGCATCAGATAATCATGTAAACTCCTATAGCATCAGATAATCATGTAAACTCCAATAGCATCAGATAATCATGTAAACTCCAATAGCGTCAGATAAACTTGTAAACTCCTATAGTATGACATCATCATGTGAACTCCTATAGCTAAACAGCAGATAACTCCTGAATAACACTAAGCCATGTAAACTCCTTACCAAAACATCAGAGAACTCCTGATGAACTCAGTCTAGAGAATCTTATATTGTTTGTGGTAGCAGGTCAGAAATGTATTCAAGAGCTTTAGGACTGATCTTTTACAGAGGATATGTTAATTTTATGGGTGATGATGATCGTAGCGGTGGTGATGATCAAATGAATTCACTTAACTTGATGAAGATGGTTAAGGTAGAGTGCTGTGTTGTGCAGAAAGAGGAGCTGAATGACAGAGAGCGCTGGCAGCATTTGGCAGATCTGGCTGACTTTGCTCTGGCCATGAAGGTCACGCTCATGAACATCAACTACCAGTCCTTCAACAACTTTATGCTACGCATAGGTCAGTGCTAACCTTCAGCCATATATTTTAAGGTGAGAGGAGAATGGAGAGCGTATCCTAGTTTGCATGCATATCATATATCCCATACTTCCTCCTCTCCTCAGGTTTGAATAAAGGGGGGGTGCTGGCAGGAGTGATTGGAGCCCGGAAGCCTCACTATGACATCTGGGGCAACACTGTGAATGTGGCCAGTCGCATGGAGTCCACAGGGGTCATGGGTAACGTCCAGGTAAGGCCTCTCCATACAGGGTGCGATGAGATGCAGGATGTGATAAGTAGTGAGGTGACAATCAGCTATAGCTCTAGCACATTGGCCTGTAAGGTCGTTGATGTACCTGATTTCTGGTGCGGACTGAGCAGGAGCACTTGATATCCTACAATGAGTGATAGTGGCAGCGTTCCAGGCTGACTACATTGCAGTCACCTGCAAGATCTCAAAACCAGATATAGCAAACTGATACCCGACCGTGCAGTCGATGATGTGGCATGCAACCATTGGTTGACTGCAATGTAGTTGCCCTGGAACACAGGCATTTTCTCCCAGATGGCTATAATAACACAAGAATAATCTTACTTTGTTTAATTACTATTTAGATTGTGGGGTTTGACATCAGGGAATAGCTTTAAGTAGACCAAATCTGGGCAGAAAACACATAAGTGTTGGCTGGATCTGTATGCATGCGGAGATTCATCACCTAAAATTGTGTGATTCTGCTGCCACCAGGTGGTGGAAGATTGCTACCACATCTTGAAGGAGTACGGATTCCGTTTTGTGAGGAGGGGACCCATCTTTGTGAAGGGGAAAGGAGAGCTGCTCACCTACTTTCTGAAGGGTCGAGAAAAACAGGGCTCCTTCATCAACGGCTCCTCGGTCACCCTGCCACACCAAGTGGTGGACAACTCCTGACCTGCGTGTCAACGCTCACAGAAAACACACACGTCACGCACATAATCAGAAATATTACATTCTAATGGTATAAGTGAGATCTGAATTAACGCTTGTATACCAACACTCCATCTTTCAGAATTGCAAAGTATGTAAGAGGATATTAACATCTTGCAAAGAGAGAAGATTTGCAACCAAATCCCCCCCCCACCCCCACCCCCACCTTGCCTGTTCAAATACTTTTTTTTGCAAACTACTAAGCTTTTCAAAATAGTGCTCAGCTACTTGCACTACAGACTTATGAACACATATCACACTACTGTATAGTCACACATATTTACACACACTCTTATTCAGACACACACCGTCTGACAAACACACATTCATGTATTCACTACAATGTCATCCTTACGACACACTCAAGCCAGATGCATCATGGCTGTTGGACTAAATGCCTAATTTGGAATACTTTCCCCCTTTTACAAAATACTTTATATTTGGAAAATAATGGATTTCATTGTGTTTGTTACCGTATCTCCAAACTGCTTGGAGATTAAGATGACCTGAGATAAGATGGGAGTGTGTTTGAAGGTTAAGTGTGGGTTCTTCAAGTGCAGTCGCAAAAACCATAAAGCGCTATGATGGGTACAGAACCCAGGTGTGAGTGCTCAGGTGTAAAATTGGAGACAGGTTGAATGTTTTTGTGGTTTTTGGAGGCGTTGCAGGTGTGGGTGTATGCATGTTGTCAAGCAAGAGTGATTCATGATATTTTAGAGTTTGTGGTCACCAGGTCTTTGTGAGTAGCTGACACCTGTGGCCATATGGGTATTCCGGTGGGTAGAAAGGCAGTGCCCTGAAATTATTTGCCCCCTTTCTGATTTTCTCTATTTTTACATGTTTTTGATACTGAATGTTATCAGATCTTCAACCAAAACCTAATATTAGATAAAGGGAACCTGAGTTTACAACTAACAACAACAACAAAAAACGACTTTATTTATTTAATTAACAAAGTTATGCAACACCCTATTCCCCTGTGTGAAAAAGTAATTGCCCCCTTACACTCAATAACTGGTTGTGTCACCTTTAGCTGCAATGACTGCAACCAAATGCTTCCTCTTGTTGTTGATCAGTCTCTCACATCGCTGTGGAAGATTTTTGGCCCACTCTTGCATGCAGAACTGCTTTAACTCAGCGACATTTGCTTGTTTCAAGTCCTGCCACAACATCTCAATTGGGATTAGGTCTGGACTTTGACTAGGCCATTCCAAAACTTCAAATGTGTTGCTTTTTAGCCATTTTCATGTAGACTTGATTGTGTGTTTTGGATTAAAGTTGAATCAAATTAGCCAAAAACCACCTGGAAGAAACTGGATGATCATCAAGGCTCTTGGAAGAATGTGCTATGGACAGATAGTATAACTTTTTGGACGACATGGGTCCCATTATGCCTGGCGAAAAACCAAACACTGCATTCCACGGTAAGAACCTTATACCAACAGTCAAGCATGGTGGTGGTAGTGTGATGCTTTGCTGCCTCAGGACCTGGAAAACTTGTTCTTAATAGAAGGAACCATATTTAGCAGATGTTATTGTGGGTGTAGCAAAATGCTTGCTGTATCAGCCTGACATTCTCCTGTAGAATTGTCTGTCTGTGAGCTGAAGCTGAAGCGCAGCTGGGTCATGCAGCAAGACAATAATCCAAAACACACAATCAAGTCTACATGAAAATGGCTAAAAAGCAACAAATTTGAATTTTTGGAATTGCCTAGTCAACGTGAGAGACTGATCAGTAACTACAGAAAGCGTTTGGTTGGAGTCATTGCAGCTAAAGGTGGCACACGCAGTTATTGAGTGTAAGGGGGCAATTACTTTTTCACACGGGGGCATTGGGTGTTGCAAAACTTTGTTTATGAAATAAGTATGTAATTGTTGTGTTATTTGTTCACTCAGGTTCCCTTTATCTAATATTAAGTTTTGGTTGAATAAAATAAATAAATATGCCATTTAGCAGACGCTTTTATCCAAAGCGACTTACAGTCGTGCGTGCATAAATTTTTGTGTATGGGTGGTCCCGGGGATCGAACCCACTACCTTGGCGTTACAAGCGCCGTGCTCTACCAGCTGAGCTACAGAGGACCACAAATCAGATCTGATAACATTCATTATCAAAAATATGCAAAAGTAGAGAATTAGAAAGGGGGCAAATACTTTTTCATAGCACTGTATGTTCGTTTGTGTGTATGTAAGGTGGATTTGTGGACAGTATTGCAGGTGCGGGTGAGTTTATTTTGCTCATATTGTATCCCCATCAGTGTCTTTTCTCCGAAGTTGGATGAAAGTGCAATAGTTTATTCTTCTACAACCCTCTGTCCTCGCTTGCCCCTTACACAAATTAAAACATTCCTGGCCCTTTAATTAATATTTTTATAACTAAGTTTCATTCATGCTGAGATTCTATTTAAAGTGAAGGGATGCAGGACTAATGAGTCTATAAGTTGTACATACAGTTTACTGTTCATTAAATTAATTTATTGCAGATGTCAGGGACAGATTTCCTTTTTTAAACCAATGTAAAAGTGCCAATGTTGAAGGAATGGCTTTGGTCCCTGTACATGTGGCCGAAATGCAGGTCTTTGCTGTTTCTCGATTTTGTATTTTAAAGAACCTCAGGCTTGGGAATAAAATGGCAATTTGAATGGTCTGTAAACTATCTGTGTTTGAGTTTAATTTATCTTTAATGTATTTCATTTAAATTATTTGTCATTTTCAAGTGTATTGATTTAAAAAAGTAATTAAACCATGGTCCCTAATACTTTCTTTATTTAGTGTGTTTTGAGTAAGTCTGTTGTGTCCTCATTGGAAAAACATAAAGTTGTCGCATATGTTGATAGTGTGACATTGATCCATTTCATGCATTAGTTGCAGAACCTTATGAGCACAAGACGTTGAAAATACGTTTCAACCAATTTTGCTCGCTGAGTAGAGATCCCCTTTTTGATGTAACTTGAAAAAAATGTAAAGGGTAAATCTGCAATTGCAACTTCCATTTTTAGCCTTTAAATTAAAGATATATATACTCATTGATTCTTGAAGAATATAACATATTGTCTCATGAGCTTAGTTTAACTGTCGTACCCCATCAGAACTCCAATGTTTGTAAACAATGTAATTTGAAACAAAAACTGTATAGCCTCAACTTGGTTAATTCTATAACTTTGACGTCGCGGATGGTCAATCCTTGCATCCATAGCTCTTGTCTATGCATTTGATTGTGGTTACAGTGGTTACATACAGCAGCGGGACGATCACTGTTATTGTTAGAACTGCAGATTTACCCTTTTATCGTAAACAACTTGTATCATTTTCCCTAGGGATAATTAATTAATTAAAATATAAAACAAATAAATATAAGAAGGTGTATTAACTTGTGAAACAAACAAAGTTCAGTATGAACTTCAAGGGCGCCACCTATGGACTACCCGGACACAAGGTATTGTCGGAATTTCCGGTGATGTCACTGCGTCTCAATATCCATAATGGGTCTGCAGCTGTCTGGAGAGCAACAATAACAGGAGAAGCTCAGCGATAAAAACGAGTTATTGTTTCGTCTCTGACACCTTTGCTAGCCCCTACTTGACATCATTCTGTCACCAACGCTCTTTGCGAATTAACTCTGGCCTCCGCTTCCTCCGACTCGGAAACCGGCGGAGCTTCGCCGCCACCGAGGAAGAAATACCGAGCTTCGGTGGCGGAGGGAGCAGGGGAACTCGGGGCTGCAATTGGGTCAGCGGCCCTGTCTGCAGTTATTGTGGGGCTTTTAACTTTTCCGAATTCACCCGTTGCTCCTGTCATTCGATTAAATCCGCACAGTGTAGCCCACATCAACATTAATAACATGCAGGCCAACGGGGCAGGACAGGGTCAAGATTCGGAGCTGTCCTGCCTAAACAACAGTGCGCAAAACGGAGAGTCGTCCTCCGCGGGGGGAGCTCACACTAACGGACTATCCACAACAAACAATGGGAACTCTGTCAGTAACAACAACGGTATCACAGCCCCAGCGGCATCCAACAACACCGTGTCTTCGGATGCCAACTCCGTGAAAAAGAAGACACGTCTTTCTCAGTCAGAGGAAGATGTCATTAGACTTATAGGGCAACATTTACACGATTTAGGGCTTAAGTAAGTAGCTAACGTTAGCTTCCTAGCTAGCTGTCAGCTGATGCTAAATCATGTACTTCATAATAACCGCGAATAAAGCAAGTCATCATGTTGACAGCGACTAGTTCGGTGAGATAAACAGAGGAGTTTTGTAGAGGGAAAATTGAATACAGCATGGGTCCTTTAGAAAATTGATGAAGGGAGAAAGATGGCCCATTATTGCACAATTTAGCTAGTCTTGGTAGGAAGCTAGCTAACTGTTACTTTGGGGTCCAGAAATGGGACTGCAGGTTTCTTGTTAAGTAGCCTAAAGACACAACACTTCCCTAACCATCAGCCATACGCAGACTTTTATATTTATATATATATATTTATTTATTATTATTATTTTTTAAGTGTAATTCAAAAGATGCTTATAATGACATTACTCTTGGGAGTTTCCAATACCATGGAAACTGGAAAATCTAGTCCAGAATGCTTTGAGAATGTTTGGTTACTTGATAGTATTTGCATGTGAATCAAGCCACAAGGTCACGTGAAATCGATCTGTTTTCATTAAGAATTTTGAAAATCGAACAGTCACCACATTTGCCTCCAACTTTGACAAAGATATGTCTACAGATTTGATACAGCACAAGTCAAATTGTTTATGACTTCGGCAAGTCATTGATAAAGATACAATGATCACCCTATCAGGCATTGTGATATTGTACTTGACCAAGTAATAAGTTAGAAAAACATGATTCAAATTAATTCTTTATAACCTGGTCTGGGCTCTGACAAAATAAGAAATTTAACAAATATGTTATTTTTGAATACCTGTACATAAAGTAATGCTATTTGACTCTCCTTTTGCAAATACTTTGTATTTCTCCTTTGCAAGTGCTCACCCTCCCCCTCTCATCTACAGTCAGACAGTGGACCTGTTGATGCAGGAGTCTGGCTGCAGACTGGAGCATCCCTCTGCCACAAAGTTCCGCAACCATGTGATGGAAGGAGAGTGGGACAAGGTGATGAAATCGTTTTTATTTTTAATCTAAGCTTTAGAGGTACACAACACATCTATTCTACTTGTTGACTTATTTTATTAATTTCTCTCAAACTTTTTAAACAAACATTTCACTTATTAAGTTTAAATGTACAGTAGTTTGAAAATAGAAAATAACCAGTGTCTATTTTTTTTGTTTGAATATAGGCTGAAAGTGACCTGAATGAGCTGAAAGCGTTGATGCATTCTCCAAGTTCTATTGTGGTAAGTCCAACAGTGCTACAGTTAGTGGTTGGTTTCGGTTTGATTATTAAAAAAGAAAGAAAATCACTGATTATTGTTTTTAACATTAAATGCACTAAGCATTATGTGGGTTGAATGCTGTAACTACACAGAATAAAACAATTAATAAAAGTCCCATGATGGTAGTGACTGCCCATTACTGCTTATCACTTATTAACCATCATTTATTCACATTGCTTTACAATATTTCAGTTGTTGTGTATGTTACATTTGTTTTACATTATTTAATTCCATGTCATCATCTCATCTCTATAGAGCTGCTGCCTATGCTGTCTGACAAAATCCCTATTTTAGTAGTTCTTCAAAGTAAATAAGGCATACTTTTATGACTGCTGAATACCAACTATCAATCTTAGATGATGTATTTTCAGGTAGCGATACCTCACGAAGCAACTGCTCTCTATCCCTCTTGATCGCGCGTTCTTCTGTCTCTTCTCTCCGTCTCAGACCGGACAAGTAGGCGCGCAATTTATTATGGTCATTGTAGTTAATTACCATGTTTTCTGCACAAACCTATGTAGAATATTGGCCTGTTGGAAACTACAACTCTCTACTACATCGCACAGTTCGGGCTTGATCTGATTTATCTCTAGAGAAACTGCGCATTGTGCGCACAGAAAAAACCTGAATAAAATGGAATTCAAATAAGTGAACTGACATCGGTCAATTAGTTGTTTAAAAAGCGAAAAATAACTGACATTTCGGTTAATCGCACAGCACTAGCTACAGTAGAATGCGGACAAGACATTGACAACTATTGCTTGTCAGAGTAAAAGAGTAGTATGTGTAGGCTACATTTTCCTCAGACAACCATTTTGATATGTTTTAAGATGCATGTGCTTAACTTGTAATGCACTCATATTTGTATATTTCCTCGCCTCCCTTCTGTCTTATTTTCTCCTCCATAGCGGATGAAGTTCCTGCTCCTGCAGCAGAAATACCTGGAGTATCTGGAGGATGCCAAGGTCCTGGAGGCGCTGCAGGTCCTGAGAGCTGAGCTCACTCCCCTCAAGTACAACACAGAGCGCATCCACATCCTGAGCGGGTAGCTACCTCCGATCAACAGTCATAATGCCCTATCCCACCCTAAAGAAATGGCCTAGATCACAGAGATATAGCTAAGCCTCTTTTGAAATTGAAAACGCTGTCACTTGTAGTGCCTTTTAAAAACTTGATCCATGTCCATTGCAATGTGTGACAACTAACCATTCCATCAGTGAGGAGTGTTTGTGTTGGAGTATGGCCAATCCTCGTTCAGTATGGTCACTGGTATGGATTTGTTAATGACACATTTTTTGCACCTCTTTGAATTTTAGCTGATTTTGAGTGAGCTAGAATAATGGGGTTCCCTGTCTGACTGTCTCCGCGGTGCTGGGGGTGAGTACTGCAGGGCAGCCTAATGCTGATGTCATCTCTTTCCAAGGTACCTGATGTGCAGCCATGCAGAGGATCTGAGAGCAAAGGCAGAGTGGGAGGGAAAAGGCACTGCCTCCCGCACTAAACTCCTGGACAAGTTACAGAGTGAGTGCCATCCTACACGTACACACACACACACACACATACACATCTCACACACACACACACATACCACATCCTCACATTCAGCCTTACCCCCGGTTTTTTAAAAGATGAGTGCACCTTTTTTATCAAATGAATTGCTCTCCAGGTTAGAAACAGAATTTATGGTCTTTAAACACAGATATTTTGTTGCTCTTCTTTTCCGAGTGACATTTTAAGAATGTATTTGAAACAATTTCTCTCTCTCCCTCTCTCTTTGTTCCCCTCATTCCTATCTTATCACACTGTGCCTCACTCCCTCCCTTCTCCTGTCTGCAGCGTACCTGCCTCCCGCTGTGATGCTGCCTCCGCGCCGGCTGCAGACCCTGCTGAGGCAGGCTGTGGAGCTGCAGAGAGAGCGCTGCCTCTACCACAACACCAAACTGGACAGTGGCCTGGACTCTGTGTCCCTCCTCCTGGACCACGCCTGCAGCCGGTAAGGCTCTTCACTTTATACTTTGTCTGTATTTGTCTGTCCTTTCTGTGTTCATTCCCTTAATTTGGCCCGCAAAATTGCCTTGCCTTGGACCTCAGCTGTAGTTGTAATGGTCTTACTTCCCAGTAATAGTTTGTTTTGCTTCTATTGTGGTGGTTATGTCACAAGATTGTATGTATTCACGCGGCATTGACTAACGTTAGTTTTCTGACGTTCACATGTTCTAACTGGGTAGGAAGTGAAGTGCTTCATTTAAACCAATGCAAAAACCTTAGCGCATTGTCATTGTCTACCCTGGTTTTTTTTTTAATTATTAGCTGCCCACACTAGCTGGGTAGAACGTTCAGGGTGATAAGGTTCTATTCCTGATATCACAAAACCTTATTCTCTCCTCTATGTCCTCCCTCCCTGACGTCTGAGTGTTGTTATCTACAGAAAACAGTTCCCTTGCTACACCCAGCAGATCCTCACCGAACACTGCAATGAAGTGTGGTTCTGCAAGTTCTCCAATGACGGCACCAAACTGGCCACGGGATCCAAAGACACCACAGTCATCGTGTGGCATGTCAACACAGTAGGAACCTTCCTCATTACAGATGAACCATGATCATGCTGATAAGTGTGTCAGGTTTTAGTAGACAGAGCATAAGAGCGGGGCGTTTCAATGGAGTGGCGGAGGCAGGAAGATGTGAACTTTGGGGGGAATGATTAGTTGAGGTGATAACTGTGCTGCTGATTGACAGGAGAGTCACCAGTTGAAGCTGATGAAGACTCTAGAGGGCCACGCTTACGGTGTCTCAAACCTGGCCTGGAGCCCTGATGACACCTACTTGATTGCCTGTGGCCCCGATGACTGCTCAGAGCTGTGGCTGTGGAACGTACAGGTAACGTTGGATTGACCTTTTATCCAGAAAGCTTGTTGTTGGAAAGATCAAAAGTCCTCTACAAAGTTCTATTCCTCAATGATTGTGTTGCGGGTAAATTAGAGATGACTTCCACATCTTACTGTCACCAGGATGAAAAGGGTAGTTGTTATTGTCATGTTATTACTAGTCATTAAAAAAAGGTTAAAGTTTTTTTTTTTTTTTTTTTACTCCTCCCTGCTCACTCACCCATGTCTCTTGTCATTGGCCAGACGGGTGAGTTGCGGACAAAGATGAGCCAATCACACGAGGACAGCCTGACTAGTGTGGCCTGGAATCCAGATGGCAAGCGCTTTGTCACCGGAGGCCAGAGGGGCCAGTTCTACCAGTGTGTGAGTGTCTTCCTTCTGGGTGTGACCTGTCATAAGGGCAGATTGAGCTATTGTGTGTGTTGGACTAATCAGTGCATTGAGGTTGGTTGATTGATATAACCTTATCCCCAGGATCTGGATGGTAACCTGCTGGACTCGTGGGAAGGAGTAAGGGTTCAGTGCCTGTGGTGCCTGGGTGACGCTCGGACCGTACTGGCATCAGACACACACCAGCGTATCCGTGGTTACAACTTTGAGGACCTTACGGACAGAAACATGTGAGTTAGTCCCATCCAACGTCATATCTAATCATCGTGTCTATATGCTCAAGGGCCATCCTGTGCTTATGCAAGTTCTGTCATTTTTAATTTTGTGTTTGTGCTGCACTTCCACAGAGTCCAGGAGGACCATCCAATCATGTCTTTCACAGTTTCAAAGAACGGGAGGTTAGCGCTGCTGAATGTGGCTACTCAGGTGAGTGGTTTGGCTTTTCTTTGGAGGTGGGGTGTTTTTGGGTAGGAATATGTCGAGCTGTCTGAGAGTGCACTGGTCAATATTCCCTGTCTGTCTGTAGGGTGTGCACCTGTGGGACCTACATGACCGGGTGCTGGTGAGGAAGTATCAGGGCGTGACACAGGGCTTCTACACCATCCACTCCTGCTTTGGAGGACACAACGAAGACTTCATCGCCAGTGGGAGTGAGGGTAAGGCCACGTCCCCTGCTAGTCGATCTCATCTGAGTCCAAATTATGCTTTGACATTACTTTCGGTATTATTTGTAAACCTGGCAGTATAACCACTCTAACTTACTCACACATCAGTGTCGTGTTCATTAGTGGACGCAAAGGAAAAGGAAAATTAAAGTTTCTTATTGGAAGGCCAGGTAGTCCCTCCCTGTTTGTTTGTTTTCTTCCTTTTGGTGCCTAATGAACAAGACCCAGGAAAAGGTAGAGGAGAATGTGTAACACTCACGTGGTCTGGTTTATACTCTGTGTCCTCCATCTACAGATCACAAAGTGTACATCTGGCACAGACGCAGTGAGCTGCCCATCGCAGAGTTGACAGGTCACACACGTACAGTGAACTGTGTGAGCTGGAACCCTGTAGTGCCCGGTCTTTTGGCCAGCGCCTCAGATGACAGCACCGTCCGAATCTGGGGGCCCGCCCCTTTCCTCGATGTCCAGGACACTGAGGGGCTAAACGGTACGGATTTGTTTTTACTGGTCATCATACTTTAACTAGTGGCCTAGATAACGAGCCCTTTTCATATCTGTCATATGTTTTTAGGTTCAGTGTCTATTATTACCATGGCCTCTACACTGTAATTATGAGACAAAATGGGGTGTGAAAGACAATTTGTAGAACTATTTGAATTTTTGTAAAAGTCTATTGTGTAGGAGCGGACCAAGAAGAAAAGGTCATATAAATGCAAATGAAAATGCTCTTCTAAAATTAACCCTACAAATAGCAGTGTTGGGAGATTTGGAAAAGCCATAGTCAATCAATCAACAATATAATTATACTTTTAGTAAAAAATATGTATATTTAACTTACAATCTGTAGGTCCTATAGGATTAGACAGGTTCAGAATGTATGTGAAACAGCACAGTTGAAAAATAAATGGCACATTGAAATCATAAGAGGGTGGTTTACGGAGATAGGTGGGATGGACTGAGAGTAGCTGAGGGGTGGGTTTAAAAGCTCATGTTCTATAATAGATATGACTGAAAACACAATGGATAATGTATAAGTACTATCTATCTAGATGTAATGTATATAAAAATATCAAATTATTTTATTCTTGCTATGTAACTACTGTAAAAAAAAAAAGAAGAAAAGGGCCATGTATGTAAAATGTGCGTAGACTATATGTAACAACAAAATAAAAAGCTGTAAATAAAAACTATATAAATGAAAATGCTCTTCTGTTTCTGTTTCTCTCTCTCCCTGAAAGAATGTTGTAGCATGGACAGCTAATGGTGACGATGGAGCAGAAGACACTACTTCTGGAATCCAGGAGAATAACACTAGACTCTAACGAATGAAGCAGAGAAACTATTGCGTTTGGACAGCTGCTTTCTGGAGGTTTGGCTCTGGGGCTGTGCTCCGGCGGCAGGGGATAACGTCTCACACACACGGAGATGTCAGACAAATCACTTAAATGAACCGATTACCCAGCAGCCATCTTGACTGTGACCTCCCACCACCTCTTACCTGTGTGGCTCACAGTGTCTGATGTCTGTTGCACCTCCTGTGTTCAGCCAAGCCCCATCCTCTTTTTTTCTCGGAGCTAACCCCAGGACTGCCACCTTTCACCTGCCTCGGCCAGAGTTTATTATTGATAATATTATTTATTGTCATGATGTGGCATTTGTATAGAGAGGGCTGTAGTGGTGGAGAATGGTACGGGTATATACAGTGCTGTGAAAAACTATTTGCCCCCTTTCTAATTTTCTCTACTTTTGCATATTTTTGATACTGAATGTTATCAGATCTTCAACCAAAACCTAATGTTAGATAAAGGGAACCTGAGTGAACAAATAACATAACAATTACATACTTATTTCATAAACAAAGTTACACAACACCCAATGCCCCTGTGTGAAAAAGGAATTGACCCCCTTACACTCAATAACTGCTTGTGCCACCTTTAGCTGCAATGACTTTAACCAAACGCTTCCTGTAGTTGTTGATCAGTCTCTCACGTCACTGTGGAGGAATTTTGTCTTGCTGCACACTCTCCCATGCAGAACTGCTTTAACTCAGCAACATTTGTGGGTTTTCAAGCATGAACTGCTTGTTTCAAGTCCTGCCACAACATCTCAATTGGGATTAGGTCTGGACTTTGACTTGGCCGTTCCAAAACTTCAAATGTGTTGCTTTTTAGCCATTTTCATGTGGACTCGATTGTGTGTTTTGGATAATTGTCTTGCTGCATGACCCAGCTGCGCTTCAGCTCCAGCTCACAGATGGATGGTCCTGACATTCTCCTGTAGAATTCTCTGATACAGAGCAGAATTCATGGTTTGTTCTATTAAGGCAAGTCGTCCAGGTCCTGAGGCAGCAAAGCATCCCCAAATCATCACACTACCACCACCATGCTTGACCATTGGTACGAGGTTCTTACTGTGGAATGCTGTGTTTGGTTTTCGCCAGGCATAATGGGATCCATGTCATCCAAAAAGTTATACTTTTGAATCATCTGTCCATAGAACATTCTTCCAAGAGTCTTGATGATCTTCCAGGTGCTTTCTGGCAAACGTGAGTCAACTTTCTGGGCGAGATGGGTCCCATGATGTCTGGTGAAAACCAAACACAGAATATCAGGCCATCGGTCTGTGAGCTGAAGCGCAGCTGGGTCATGCGGCAAGACAATGATCTAAAACACACAATCAAGTCTACATGCAAATGGTTAAAAAGTAACACATTTGACATTTTGGAATAGCTTAGTCAAAGTCCAGACCTTATCTCAATTGAGATGTTGTGGCAGGACTTGACATGAGCAGTTTAATGCTTGAAAACCCCAAAATGTCCCTGAGATAAAGCAGTTTGGCATGCAAGAGTGGGCAAGAATTCCTCCACAGCGATGTGAGAGACTGATCAACATCTACAGGAAGCATTTGGTTGCAGTCATTGCAGCTAAAGGTGGCACAACCAGTTATGGAGTGTAAGGGGGCAATTACTTTTTCACACAGGGTAATTGGGTGTTGCATAACTTTGTTAATTAAATAAATAAAATAAGTATCCTTTTTTTTGTAAACTCATGTTCCCTTTATCTAATATTAGGTTCTGGTTGAAGATCTGATAACCTTCAGTATCAAAAATATGCAAATATAGAGAATCAGAAAGGGGGAAAATACTTTTTCACGGCACTGTATATCTATGTTGTTCTAACAACAGGAAAGTAATTTTTAATTGGTTTATTCATTGCTGCCTCTAATAAACATCTCAACGTATATGAGATTGGGGTTTTCACATGCTGAAAATAATGAAGTTTTTTTATTTCACGTCAAACTTTTAGCTATTTTTAAATGACAAGACTTACAGGCATTTTAACTGAAACTGATGGATATAAAATCCACAAATCTAAGTGAATCTTGGAGATGCTTGTAGGGTTACGATGATTACGTTTGTTTAGTGTTTTTTTAATACAGTACTTTTTAATTTTAGTGTTGATTTTTTTTTCAAGAGGTAAAATACCTTTTAAATTGGATGTTGCTTTATTTCTCCAAAGGGTGAGATTGATGTGCACGTTGCTCACTGCTGCCAGAAGAAACCATTTTGACCACCTGATTGATTATATGGTGGATATGCTCTTACTCTTCAGTACTTGCTAGACCTAGTGAAGCACGTGCTGAGGCTAACTTTCTAATGGGAATGTTTAGGAGGTTATAGTTGTGGAGAGGTTAGGTAGTGGGGAAGGAATTGCTTAAACTTGCTGTTTGAACTGGGTTGTATCACCCTTAACAGCAATGGGGTTGACTGGGTTTTCCTTGACTTTGATCTCATGTATGTGTCCACCATTGTGCTGTTCTCAAATTACCTCCATTTTCCTCATCTTCTCTTCTTGCCTCTCACTTGTTCCCTTCTCTCCTATCCCTCATCTTTATCACTTACATTTTTGGTGTATCCACTTTTTTTCTAGCTGTGGTGAAATTAGCATTTATTTGCTGGTTTGTTTGTTTTTCATTTTCCTGATTTGTTATGTATTCAATACAGGCTGACATAAAATGTCTTTGAAAAAACTTACTTATCTGTTTTTATGGCTTTTATGAATTTTGTTACTATCTTTTTCTGTTTCATTTATCACTTCATTTGTTTTCTCTCATTTTCCCTGTACTATCATATTGGCCTCTTCAACCATTTCTTTTACCACCATTTAACATGTGTAATGCATTTGTACACAAGTGTATCAGATAATTATGAACATGTACAAATTGTTCCTGTTGGACAGTCAAGCAAAATAAGCTTTTCTGATATGGTGTGCTATATATCTGTATATGTTATGGCATGTATTATGAGATAGTGTAAGAACAGCGTATAGGCTGAGCATTTTTCTGTGACACAGATCTCCCCTGCATCAGGCGAGCGCCTGCCCACAGGTCATTACAGCCACCACCAGCTTGTTCTGTTACAGAAGACTGATAGATCTAAAAATATGTATACATACACGCCACACACCTCAGTACAGATCAAACACTAAAACAATCACAGATGTGGTTCAGCTTATGCAAGTTTTTGTTTTCTTTTGAGATGTACCTTATTTTGGGGCTTCTTATTTCCCTCTCCTTGCTGTAAACGCTTGGTGAGGTGAGAAGCCAATGTTAGGTTTGTTAGCATCCATTTAGCATTTAAATGTGTTATTACAAAAAGTGATTGTACTGTTATGTAACGTTGTGTAGGAGAAGTGATGTATGCATATTTTCAATAAAGCATTCAGGGTTTTAAGACCGTGAGTGATGGCTTTAATGATTAGCAGCTTACGAAGCACAGCCACAGAAATTATATTATATTCTCACAACAGAACATGCATAAGTCTCCCGAGGTTTCTCTTTGGACTACAGTATTAGCCCTACCTCAATACGGGTTAATACAATCTCACAAGAAAAAGACACCCAAGTGTTCTCTTTCAAGTTTATTTATTTAAGAAACCCCACAAATTATTTTCAAAAGCAAAAATAAAACTTAAGACAGTCATTTTAATTTGATTTAAACAATCTGAACAGGCAACCTTCCCAGTGGAGAAATACATTTGGATGGAACATGGTCATGCTCAAACTGCCCAAATAAAATGTTAATGGTGACATGTAATACAACTATCATACAGACAAGGAGTTTGATTCAATCTGAAGCGCTACAACGTGATAGAAATTTAAAGGAAAATTACCTTTAAAATTAAATCGGGCTACAGCGCAGATCTTCAGCACTACGGATTGAATCGAGCCCAAGGTTATAGAGAGCGATAAAATAGGGCTGAAAAACATTTTCCGATCCAGGTGCATGTATTCCCCTGAGAACATAATACCAATCAAATGTGCACCTTTCAGCAGTCAGGGGATGTCAGATCTATAACTTATTGATGTTAATAAGAGACTGCAAGAAAATATAATAGAAATAGATCCTCCCCAAAACACAGGTTAGTATTCTGCAAAGGATATTCAATTCAAGGATTTTCCAGCATGTTGACGAGACATAGAAAATAAACATGACAATCAAATATGGCATTGACATATCAAAGATGATGTTCGGCAGGCTGGCAGAGGATGTGCTAGCTGTTGTGATTGGCTCTTGGCTGATTGGCATTTGCACCATCTAGCCTGTGCGATTGTCATGTTTTCCATCTGGCCAGAGGAGCAGTGCATGGACAGCATTGTTGGACACAGGCTGAACGAAAGAACACACACACACACACACACACGTGCACAAGCGAGCACACACACACAATTCCAGGGCAGTTATGAGAACACAGAATTACATCATGGGGAGGGGGTCTGAGGAATGATTAGGTGTCCAGGGGAGTGTAATGTCATGTGGCTCCAGCTGTGAAGAGGACTGAGGACCAGGACATATTGAACGCCACATACTGAATAGTTTGTGATTTGGATTAAAACGGCCATGGGGATCTCAATCGTTGATCAGTGCCAGGATCATGCTGTGGAGGAGAAAGGAAGCGTGTGACAAGTGAAGAAACTACTTTAGAACCAAACTTAATCTCAGGCTAAACATCAAAGTTATCCTGTACTAAGCAATAAATAAAGGAGCAGTAAGATTAGCTATGTTAGTACTGTAGCATATGACAGCGGCTAGCATATGAAAACTAGCATATCAAATCCCAGACAGCAAGAGACAGTCTCTTACCTGTACAGGTAGATGAAGAAGCAGAGCAGGTGGAAGCCGAGTTTGATCATGGACTCTTTCATGTGAGACTTTAGTTGTCCTCGGTTGTGGATCTCAGTGGGGTCAAACACCCCCATGTTTCCCATGGGCACCTTCAAAACCCTGTCAGATAAACAATAGAGTAGAGGAAAACCAACAACACTCAAGACAAAATAGCACATATACAGCACAAGAACAACCATAGCATTGTAGTAAACAGCTTGGGGGTGGGCTATATCGCTAAGAGCTGGGGAGTTTGTAAGGGGCTTACATGGGCTAGGGTTGTTATAGTATTACTTGTGGGTGCTGGACTTCCTGCTGAACAGGGGGCAGTGTGTCAAGTTCAACAACACAACATCCCTTCCTCTGTGTACATCTACCGGTTCCCCAAAAGGAACTGTCATCTCTCCAGTGCTGTTCTTCATATACACCAATGACCTTAAAGGCTCCGACAGGAACTGCTTGGCAGTGAAATATGAAGATGACGCCGCCAGGCACCCTCAGATGACACACTGCATTTCCAAACAGAAGTAAACAGGGTTCATGACTGGTGCAATAACAACTACCTCAAACTCAACAAAACAAAAATAACTGCTCACTGATTTCTGGAGGAAGGCAGACTCAGTGAGACACCTAGTCCTGGGTGGTGAAGAGAAAGAGTTGTAGGTATCTGGGAACCATCATGGACAGCAAACCCTCTTTTAATGCCAACACTCAAACCATCAATAAAGAATACCAACCACGACTGTACCTCTTGCACAGACTGAGACAACTGAATGTCAACACCTAGATAACTCTCCAACTACTACACCAGCCATATAGAGAGTGTCCTGACTTTCTGTTTCCTGGCCTGGTATGGTGGGCATTCAGTGGCTAATATGGGTATCCTCAGGCGGACTGTGAACCTGGGGTCCAAGCTCTGCGCGCTGCAATGCAGGGGGCTTCAGAGCCACTATGATAAACAGGCAAGGGACAAGGCCAAGCGCATCATAGAGGACCCCACACACAATCTTGGCCAACGTTTTGAACTGCTGGGGGGTCCCATTGTTCAGTAAGCATAGGAGCAAGGCAAGTTTCATTCCAACAGCCTGCTGAACAGTGGGACATAGGACAGATGCATGCCCAATACACGGTCGGACAGTAGAATATGTGAAAATGTAAATGTACTGCATGTAATATATTGTGTTTGTATGCCGACGTCATGAAATGAAAAATAAAGTATATTGTATCGTAAGGCTTACACACAGCCACTGATGACACCTCTGAGTGGACCCCCTCACTCCTCAGACATAAAAGTGTCTTTACTTTTCACATAAGAAAATACGTTGCCGTTGATCATTAACATTCAGTCGTCATCTCAAACATTGCCGGGATAGGATAGGTACAGCGTACTTACCTGTACATGTTCCAGGCAGCCACAGGCAGGTTGAGTAGGAAGATAAACCAGTGCAGGGAGACAAGCATCAGCACTGCTGCCAGGACCTGGCCTACCAGCTCTGGTACAACCCACTGCAGATACACATTATGAAAAAGTATATGAGCACAAGCATACAGGACACAAGAAATAAAAAAGACAACTGGAGATAACGGGCCACAGATATGACGTGTAAGTCAGGAAGCTGAAAGTGACTAACTACATATAGGGTAAATCCATTTGAATTCAAATCCTTTTTGACTGCACCCCTTTTGATTTGAACGGAACCTTCCATACATGGGCCTATTTAGCCATTGTAGAAAGTGACATTCACGACATGAAGGTGCTCAAAGTTTGCATACCCCACCATACCATACCACCCCACCATGTTGTCATCACTGGAAAAGATAAACGGTTGAGATGTATACAATTTAAAAGCTTCCAAACAGGGTTGTCAAATTGTTTGATAATTTCTGGATTTATTTTTATAATGTCATTTTTTTACCTTTAATGTTAATTGTCTAAAAAAGCTATTTGCATATGTTGTAGCTTAGAGCCTATTTTACATAGTCTAAGATTTTAGTGTTGTGTCATCGGTTAAGACACAACATGCTCTTGAATACAGGGTGGGTGTCATGTTTTGGCTGATAAATGTACTAAAATGGGAATAAAATTGAAATGTCACATTTCAAATGGTACCACAAAGATGGTTGGAGGTGCACACATCAGAGGACGTTGACTTGAATATCTGTTGTTTTAAATTATACTGTCAATCCTCCATAGGAAACCTATTGAAATCATAGTAATATAGACAATAGAATATACATGTCTATTTAAGTTGACAGTCGACGGTGGGCGCGGTCATCTTTGTGGTAGCAATTAGAAGTTAAAATGTCAATTCAATTTAAATGTCAATAGTGTACCAGCTAAATTGCAGTGGTCTGAAGGGATAGTTCCATTCTATGACTTCTATTTCTATGATTGAAATGACACCCACTCTGTTTTCAAGAGTAAATGTATCTCAACCGATGGCGGGCACAACACAAAGACCTCAGATGATGCGAAATAGGATCTAAGCTACGACATATGAGAATATGAAAAAATTTGGAGTTCACATGTTTTTTGATAATTGACGTTAAAGGTTTTAAAATGTCAATTTGTATTCCAAAAATATTTTTCCAAGAAATAATAAAATAGTTTGACATCACTGTTTGTAAGCTTTTAAATTATATCAAACTCAACTATTTTTTCCAGTGAAGAAGACATGGATGTCTCATGGTATGGTGGGGTATGCAAAATTGGTAAAATCTGAGCACCTTTATCTCCTGAACCTTTTGGCAATGAGGTCCAAAAAGTCACTTTCTGACCACTTTTTCCATGGGCAAACATATATGGAAAGTTTTGTTTAAATCAAAAGGGATCCTGCCAAAAAGTGATTTGAACTCAAACGGATTTAGGGATGGATCGACATTTACAGAATGGTTACCTGGAGGAAAATGGGGGAGGGTCATGCTTTTTCAATTTCAGTCAAGGGGAGGGTTTAGTATTTTTTTTTAATCTAGTACAGTGGAGGGTCATGTAATTTGTAATTGATGAAATGTCAATATTTCTCTGTGTTTTAGAAGTAGTTGCTTATTAGGCTATGTATCAATGTGTGCCCGATGCCGCCCCTTATCTGTGATTCTCTATAGGCTATTTAGTGTGGTCTCAATCAAAATGATCCATAGCCTATAGGCTACGAAGTGCATGCTCGGAGAAGCACAGAGCAAAGTTATATTTCTAAGATATTTTCTGGGATGGTGTAAATACAACTAGGCTGCATTACACACTGCTATGGACATTCCAACCCTGAGCCCCAGTCTGCTCTGCTTTTGCTGATCAAAAATGTTTTATTTTGTGCTGTCTAACCAATGGCTGTGCTGTGTAGCCCTACGGTGGCAGTTCAGGAGAGTCAAAGGCTTCTTCCGAATGTTTTTTTTTATTAGGCCTAGTCCAAAGAAAATGCACTATCTTGCGCGTGGACTAGCCTATAGCCTATGTTCTGTTCAGTTCAGTTTGAGATGGAGAGCGCGAAGATGAAATACCAGAGGTCAACTTTGATAGCTTGCTACTATTACTATAATTGATTTTATTAAAAACAATATGTTTCTTGCCCATTATGTATTTATCAGAGTTATTGACCTCACAATAAGCCAGATTTGAGTAACATACATTGTGGTGCTGAAAATTGCAGTGGCACAATCTATCAGAAAAGGACAGCTCATGGTGCTGAAAGTAGGCAAATTCATTTCAACCTTAATTTTAATTACACTTTACTAACAAGAAGAGGGCTTTGTGGAGCCTATTTCTTCCTATAAAAAAAAAAAAAAGAGATAGGCCTTCCTGTTTGACAGATGAAATTAGGCTATAGGCTGCTATATCCATAGATTCGTCAGTCAATTCCTCCACCCACCATGCACTCATTAAATAGCCTACCTCTGTGTCAGTGAAGGGCTGTTAAGTTAAAACCAAGATTTGAATTGAGGCGGTATGAGAGGGTATGCCGTATGCCTACCTTTTATTAAAGAAAATGGTAAAAAGCGTAAGATATTGAAGAAAATAAAACGGATCTGATTATATAAAGTGATCTATAACATCGCTTTGGTCCGCGATGCTTTATGTAAGCTGTAAAATACCCGGGAAAGACGTGACTCCGATGCATATGGGGATATCATTGTTTCGTTTATTTAACATTCAGAGGCTGAGCTACAACCTTCTATAGCCTAGGAGACAACATTTACTTTGCTTGGGAAGTAATCTAATTCAGATTCCTAATGACGTCTCAGATTTAATTATTTGCAAACAGGGACAGTTTTGTTGCAAACAAGACACACTGATTTGGCATTAGAGAAATATGATAAGATGAACACATAGGCCTATCTCTCTGTCCATTCTTAGCCTGTAATTTTGGTAATTTGTGTGGTATTAAAAAAGTTTCTGCTATTATGTAAAATGACGTAGAATTGCATGAAATGTTTATAAATGGCTATTTTTTCCTCAGACCTGCAAACATGATAATAGATTCATGCAATGCATTTACTATAAAGGAGATATTTCCACCCCTACTCTTGTGTTGTCCACGGTGGTCTGAGAACCCACAACCTTCTGGCCCACTGCCCTGTGCGCTATGAAAATTCCTGCGTTGCCATGTAATGCTTACAGGACGAAGAACAGTTTCTATAACTCCATATCTAAGGCTCTGTTTTGTCCAAGAAGTGAGGGTAAACGGTAGGCATGTTCTCAGCTATCCACTTTATGTTTTAATTATTATTTTGGGTATAGGGGAGTTTTTTGTTGTTGTTTTTTTTTTCATTCAGGGAGGGTTTAGGTAAAATATATTTTGCTGAAGGGAAGGCCATCCATTTTCATTTCAGAGGTCTGATTTTCTCCATGTAACCCTTATTATAAATAATGTTCACTCCCTTAACTACAGGATCAGTGTCCCTATACCGGGACAGTTGCTGCTCAATATGCGATTTGTGACTAGAATGGCTTTGTAAACAACAGCCAAATTTCTGGGACATAGACATGTCTTATATGGGCAGAAAGCTTAAATTCTTGTTAATCTAAATGCAGTGTCCAATTTACAGTAGCTATTACAGCTAAAAAAATACCATGCTATTGTTTGAGGATAGTGCACATTCAGTAATATATTGATAAGTCACCTTGTCCGAGAGAGATTTACATGGTTATCAAAACATCACGCCAGGGTAAACCTACACAAAACACAGCCCTTATTTTAAGTGTTTCTAAAATCCCCTATGGGAAAAATGAATGGTGGAAAATGATTGGAACCACTTCCCTGATTGACCGTTAGGTATTATGACACCTCCACTGTGGGGCTCTATGGCATTGCACATCCCTTTTTGCAGTGGGAAATGTCCTGACCCTACTCAAATGCTCTATCTAAACGTAAATACGCCTCGCTTGCGATAGGGTTTTGGTAACATTTGGAACTTAATAAAGATGATCCGCCATTTCCTGGTTGCTAAAATTCTAATTTAGCTTAATTTCAGTTTCTGACAAAACAAGCAAGTATAGTGTAGATAATCATTGTACCATCTAAACCGCTATGAAATCTTTTCCATAACCAAAATTTTTGTATTTTCAGCTGTTTGAATGAAGATGGTGTACAAAACCTAAAAGATGCTAAAACTAAACGTGAAGGAAAGCATAGAAGTGCGTACATTGAACAGATCGACCTCTTCTTAGACTTGATGTCTATGAGAATGACAGATCTATAACACACATTTCTATGTGAATTTAGCCCAGTGTCCCAAAAAGTTACATATTGCAGCTTTAACTTTAATATCAGCGATGAAAATACACAAAAGATACACTTACTGTACACAGTTTAGCAAAAATACACGCAGCTGAGAAAAAAAAAAAACGCTTCCAGAAGGAATGTAATGTTCCAATGGAGGGAGTTCGATTTAGCTAGCCCGGTTGACCCGGTAGGAGGAGTTTAACTGGGTAAAAAATGATTGCAGTCGTTTTGACCACAGGCTGCCTCCCAGCTTTGTGGAGTGGGTAACAAGGTGGGTTATCTCGCTTTATTAGCTGGGTGCTCTGCCATATGCAACAATTACTTAAAACTAAATCCCAAGCTCAAGAACATTGGGAAACGGCGGCACTCCAAATGTGGCCCGGTGATGCTCGATTTGCAAGTGTATATTTTGGTATTTGAAATATTATTTATTGCTGATGTTAAAGTGAAATCCCAAAGGGTTTCCAAAACCATATCGCTAACGAGATGTAATAATGTTTTTAACCGTTAAAGCAGTGTCGGGATTATAGTTTACAGTGAGCCTGCTGTGGTCCACACCTTTAACCGAGCCCTAAGGGGAGGCTATGCTCCCTTGGTTCTCGAGAGCTAGCTAGCATAGCTAGCTGCGTGTACATGCAACATTTTTTATTTGAAATTACAACTGTGCTTACTCTGTTTAACTTCGAACAGCAGGCTCGTGCATTGATGTAGTCACATTCTAGGTCGGAGAGGGTAATTATCTATTCATGAAGTTAAGGTATGTAAACTGTCTGGGCAGAGATGTATCAGGCTAGCTATACAGTAACAGTTTGTCTATATTCTTAATGTCAACTAACTCAAGCCATTGAATACTTAGGAATGCGTGAGTAACTAGGACTGACAGTCTAAATTTTAACCACTGAACTTTTGCTAGAAAAAAACAAGCAGCAGACACTGCATCTAAAATATGTCAACGCTACTGTTGACAGCCAGAAGATCGACATTTTACAGTGCAAAGGACGAATAGGGCGTTTGCTAACTGGCCCTTTCTGGCAAGACAGAGCAGCACGGATTGGTATGATCATGGTTAAATCACGGCCAACGTTAACTAGCACTTGTCTGGGCACAGAGAGGTACCCACAAAGCACGAGCGCTAGAACGTATTGATTGTAACAAAGAATACTAATAGAGATCCAGTACACAACGTATTAGGTCATGTTCAAGAAAAGGATACGAAGTACACCGCCAGAAAAATCAAAGCACAGCAGTCAACCAGCGATAGAATGAACACAGCCGCCTCCATCTTTCGTCTTCCGCATTCACTGCTATTTCCGGTTATTTTGAAAATTAGTGCAAAGGGTCAGCTTTTACCTATACTGCCACCTCTCGTACTGTAGTCGATAATACAAACTACTGCCCATGAGACAGACCTACAGTATCTTACAAATAAAATAGGCTACAGTACAAAGCATAGCCTGCAGTGAACTACATGTAGTTCAACTAGTAATTTAACTACATTTTGTGGTAGCTTGGTGGTAGTTGAATAAATTAAAATATTGGTAGTGTTTTAAGTAGTGAATTACTTTGTTTTGCCATGTAGCAGTGTAGCTAACTACTGGAACTACCCAGTAGGCAAGTCCTGGTTGAAAAGACATCAGTATATTGTCTTAATCTGGTCGTAAACTGGTTAAAAAATCATATTTTTACTGACCACCATACGACCAGTTGGTGGTCATAATTGTGACCAATATATTATGTTCTATATGATGTAGCCTACTGGTCATAGTTAAGATCTCACCATAACCCGGTAATGACCACCTGACTACAGCTTATTACCTACACTCTTAGAAAAAAGGGTTCCAAAAGGGTTCTTCAGCTGTCCCCATAGGATAACCCTTTGTGGTTCCACATATAACCCTTTTGGGTACCATGTAGAACCCTCTGTGGAAAAGGTCCTACATAGTACCCAAAAGGGTTCTACCTGGAACCAAAAAAGGGTTATTCAAAGGGTCCAATGGGGACAACCGAATAACCCTTTTAGGTTCTATATGGCACCTTTTTTCTAAGAGTGTACTGTAAATGTATTGCTGAGGATAAAGTTGGATAGTGAAAACATTGTTCATTACATTTCTATTTGTTTCCATAGTCACCAATTAAAGTTAATCTGCAACATATTCTTACATTTTAAACAGATCAAGCAATGGCAAAAACAAATCTACATCACAATTTTCACACATCTGCATACTGTAATTGTTTCTAAATTAATCCACAGACATTACATGCATAGAAAACACTGGAACACAGAGTATATAAAGGCCCATTGTCTTATTTGATTAATAAGAGTGGTAGAGCCTCATCAAGGACCTCTGAGCACAGAAGGAGATCTGGAGCGTAGTGGCTCTCTTGAAGAGTTGTATGATAGGTCAGATCTGCAGTGTATCAATTTTAGATTTTAAAATAATTATTGAAGAAACTTTGTGGAATCAGCTGGCTGTAGGTATTTCCTTGGTACTAGTTAACACATTTTGTGGCAGTTATAGCTTAGAGGTGTCTTAAAAAAAGAGCAAGTTTCTCATATACAGTGGCAAGAAAAAGTATGTGAACCCTTTGGAATTAACTGGATTTCTGCATAAATTGGTCATAAGATTTGATCAGATCTTTATCTAAGTCACAACAATAGACAAACACAGTCTGCTTAAACTAATAACACACAAACAATTATAAGTTTTCATGTCTTTATTGAACACACCGTGTAAACATTCACAGTGCAGGGTGGAAAAGGTATATGAACCCTTGGATTTAATAACTGGTTGACCCTCCTTTGGCAGCAATAACCTCAACCAAACGTTTTCTGTAGTTGTGGATCAGACCTGCACAATGGTCAGGAGGAATTTTGGACCATTCCTCTTTACAAAACTGTTTCAGTTCAGCAATATTCTTGGGATGTCTGGTGTGAACCGCTGTCTTGAGGTCATGCCACAGAATCTCAAATCGGGTTGAGGTCAGGACTCTGACTGGGCCACTCCAGAAGGCGTATTTTCTTCTGTTGAAGCCATTCTGTTGTTGATTTACTTCTGTGTTTTTGGTCGTTGTCCTGTTGCATCACCCAACTTCTGTTGAGCTTCAATTGGTGGACAGATAGCCTTACATTCTCCTGCAAAATGTCTTGATAAACTTGGGAATTAATTTTTCTGTCGATGATAGCAAGCTGTCCAGGCCCTGAGGCAGCAAAGCAGCCCCAAACCATGATGCTCCCTCCACCATACTTTACAGTTGGGATGAAGTTTTGATGTTGGTGTGCTGTGCCCTTTTTTCTCCACACATAGTGTTGTGTGTTCATTCCTTCCAAACAACTCAACTTTAGTTTCATCTGTCCACAGAATATTTTGCCAGTAGCACTGTGGAACATCCAGGTGCTCTTTTGCGAACTTCAGACGTACAGCAATGTTTTTTTTTAAATACTTCTGCAATGACTATATTTTAGTTATTTAATTTGTATTAATTTGTAGAATTTTCTTTTCACTTTGACATTATGGAGAATTTTGTGTAGATCAATTACAAAAAAAATGCAATTAAATCTATTTCAATCCCACTTTGTAACTCACATTTTATTTTGTTTGTTCAAGAGTATGTAGACTTTCTATAGGCACTGTATGTATATATACTGTATATACAGTACCAGTCAAAAGTTTGGACACACCTACTCATTCCAGGGTTTTTCTTTATTTTTACTATTTTCTACATTGTAGAATAATAGTGAAGACATCAAAACTATGAAATAACACATATGGAATCATGTAGTAACTAAAAAAGTGTTAAACAAATCAAAACGTATTTTATTTTTCAGATTCTTCAAAGTAGCCACCCTTTGCCTTGATGACAGCTTTGCACACGCTTGAAATAATGGAAAAGTGGTGTGTGCATATGTATTCACCCCCTTTGCTATGAAGCCCCTAAATAAGATCTGGTGCAACCAATTACCTTCAGAAGTCACATAATTAGTTAAATAAAGTCCACCTGTGTGCAATCTAAGTGTCACATGATCTCAGTATATATACACCTGCTCTGAAAGGCCCCAGAGTCTGCAACAACACTAAGCAAGGGGCACCACCAAGCAAGCAGCACCATGAAGACCAAGGAGCTCTCCAAACAGGTCAGGGACGAAGTTGTGGAGTAGTACAGATCAGGGTTGGGTTTTAAAAAAATATCAGAAATCTCGAACATCCCACGGAGCACCATTAAATCCATTATTTAAAATGAATATGGCACCACGACAAACCTGCCAAGAGAGGGCCGCCCACCAAAACTCACAGACCAGGCAAGGACGGCATTAATCAGAGAGGCAACAAAGAGACCAAAGATAACCCTGAAGGAGCTGCAAAGCTCCAAAGTGGAGATTGGAGTATCTGTCCATAGGACCACTTTAAGCCGTACACTCCACAGAGCTGGGCTTTACGGAAGAGTGGCCAGAAAAAAGCCATTGCTTAAAGAAAAACATAAGCAAACACGTTTGGTGTTTGCCAAAAGGCATGTGGGAGACTCCCCAAACATATGTAAGAAGGTACTCTGGTCAGATGAGACTAAAATTGAGCTTTCTGGCCATCAAGGAAAACGCTATGTCTGGCGCAAACCCAACACCTCTCATCACCCTGAGAACACTATCCCCCACAGTGAGGCATGGTGCTGGCAGCATCATGCTGTGGGGAAGTTTTTCATCGGCAGTGACTGGGAAACTGGTTAGAATTGAAGGAATGATGGATGGCACTAAATACAGGGAAATTCTTGAAATGTAGGTGTCATAACCAGACATAAAATAACGCAATATATGTCACAACAGGTGTAAATATATGGGTCATGACAGTGTTATGACCATATTATGACAGGGAATAATGTGTTATGAAGCTGGGTGTCAAGGAAAGTGTTACCTAACAATAGGCTAATTAGTATGAAATAATTATGTTTTAATGCATAACATGTGTTGTGCAGTTGAACATTCTGTCATTCTTTCTAAGGAAACCTATTGCTTCTGTTTCAGATGTTGGGGTGCCGCTTTGTAGTGTTGCTATACAAGAGCAAAATGATGTTGGCCCAGAATGTTTGCAAACCAATGTAAAATGAGTCTTTGAAGTATCAAAATGTCTAGTCATTCTCTGGTGACTGGTCTGAATTTGATTTTAGCCTAGCTAAGCTACTATTATTGTGTAAATGTCATTAAATTCCATAGTTTGGGTCTTGGGACTACAAATTATACTTTGTTTAGCCTCCATCTTTGTGAATACATTTGGTTAGGTTTTTGTGTCAAAAGGTCATTTTGTGAGAGAGAAGCCCGGCCTATAAGGAACCCCTGGTTCCAATTTCCTTTGTCCTTAGTGTTCAGTGATTGCAGATCTGTAAATCCCAGAAAGGTGTAAGCAATAAGGCGTAGGCTTCCCGAATGTCGTTATATTACTATATTGCTTGCACCTATCCCGTTTTTAATGCTCTGCAAAAACCAAGTGGTTAGGACCTTGGAGGTGGCGAAAAGCAGTTTTCGGACCGGTCCACAGAGACACAGCTCCCACCCTAGGATGCTGAGTCCTGACATTCCATCGCCACATACATCATTCATCAGAGGCACATAGGGTGTTTCGTGCGGCAGCCATGGCGGCGCCCCTTGCGCATTTCGATGATGAGTGGCACGATTTTAAGGAATTTGAGCCGGTTTCAGAGCAGGGGACTCGGGTGGACCGAGTAAACTTGGTTGTCGAGCATGTGACGGGCGATCTGAAGGTCCTTCCAGAGCTCAACAACAGCTTTTCTTTCGAAATAGGCAGCTTCAAGTCCATGGAAGATCTGGTGAACGATTTCGACGACAAATTGACAGTGTGTTTCCGAAATTTCAACACCAAAAATGAGAACATTGCCCATGTAAACATTAGCACCGAGGATACAACATTGAGGAACGACGAGTGAGTATGCGAAGTTAGTTTGTAACAAGACCGTTCTTCCCTTGCAACATACTATCACATTTCAATGTCTCGCTCTGCATAATTGCGTTCCACTCAAACATGCTGTCACGTGTATTGATGGTTGATGCAAGCTGCGGACACATTGTATCAGATAGGCTTATATCATATTTACACCTATTCGAGAATATTGCTATAGGCTAACAGTAATGCTACATTAATTTCACTAGAAGTTTACGTTTATAATTATGCTTTTTCATGCATTATTGTTGCTATGCACGTACTGTCAGTTGTGCTGATGACTTGTCAATAAGCAACGTTATCAATGATCATGTGACTGCTCCATCAAGCTAGATCTCAGAACTCACATAATCTCAGTTGACAACATGTCAGTGCATTGTGTCCCAAATATGCCTAACAAAGACATCCCACTAAACTCTAGATTAGAATGTTGACCCATAAACCCTTCCCTGGAGTTCAGAATAAATAGGACAATTCACATTTATCTCCCCTAAAATATGAAATATTTGGCTCATGTCTTGGGTAGAGATAGTTGATCCCACTGATCTGTTTGTGGTTAATAAATAGTTAGTATTAGGCTATGCTGTTTATAAATGATACATTAGTTATTAATGTCTCACCCTTCCCCTTTTCACTATACATAATACTGTCTTAAAGCAGTGCGGCTGTAGCATTATCAACAGTCCAAACATTGCACAGCTGGCGGATTAGTCCTCATTACATCTTTCTGCATCCAATTTGTGTTTTTGATCGAAAATGTACAGTATCATCTGGGTAAATCTTTTGTAAGATGTTTGTGAAATTTGTGGCATCTGTCCCTTAGTAACCAATATTTGGCTACATGCACAGTGCATTGTCATTATGACAAATATAACCACTGTTGACCATTATTAGAAGTTAGCTATCACTTCTGTACATGAGCTTTGGTCCTACAGGTGGTGGAGTTCACTTGTATGTGTCTCTCATCTCATTTCCTCCACAGGATCTGGAATGCTCTCGCAGATAATTATGGTAATGTCATGGCAGTGGACTGGAAACATTCTCGAACGCGCTCCCTCCATCTCCCCACTCTAAAACTTGAAGACAAACCAGTGAGTCAAGTTCTTGCTTCATAGAGGGCTCTTTCTTTGTCCCTTTCCTTTCATCCCCCCCCCCCCCCCCTCTCTCTCTCTCTCTCTCTCTCTCTCTCTCTCTCTCTCTCTCTCTCCTTCTATCCCTACCACTCCCCCTCTCCCTACCCCTACCTTCCTGTCCAATCTGTTTATCGCCCCCAATCTAAAATTCAGAATCCATTGTGCCAGGATTTAGTTTTGATTAAATCCCCTCCCCCTGACCTGTCAGAGGGTGGATGATGTAACACTGGAACTGTCCGACGACGAGGAGCTGAGGGAACAGATGGACATGCACACCATCATCGTCTCCTGCTTCAACGACGAACCCCTCTTCACCGCAGAACAGGTAGGGCTACCCACCAATTTACCAACCTACCAACCCACAGCTCTGCCTGGAATAGACCAAGACTGACCTACACTTTATCAACGCGAGAATACAGTGGAGCAGAGCTGGGTATGGGGCTTGTGCCTGTTGCTTGAATGTGCTTCACATAGACAGATGACAGGTGGACTGAGCCTGTGTTTGTGTGAACCAGATGAACCGTGATCTACGCATGTGCAG